CTGAAACCATGTCCCTAATTAAAAATGCAAGTATAGAATGTTAAAAAAAAAAAAGGAGAAGTAATCATTATAATATCTTAAATATGCTTAAAGTTGAGTTGATGACGAAATGTTCAAGACCTTGTATGTGTCTAGAGGCATTGCTGAGACCTGATCTGACCAAATAACTCCTTTTGGTCCATTGTCAATTGGAGGCTTGCTTTGACATCTGAGGCTTTGGCTTCTAGAATAGTTTCAAACCTTTTCCAGTTTGCAATATAAGTTGTAGGAGCCCTAAAAAAAAAAAAAAAAGGTCTATGTATACAAATAAGAAGAATTAATGTGTGCATGCGGATTGGAATTGTTAACTACTTGATGTTATTTGAAGTCAATTCTTTCCATGTTCTCCTATAAACGCCACTTTCAATTAATTGGCCCCAAGGAACGAAGATAGAATACAACTCTATATTGTTTTCCTTGCTTAATATTCTGAAAGAACAAGCAATATACGAGTATCAAAACATAATGGATATTTTATATATAATCTAGCAATTACATCTTCAAATATGTGTATGTCCCTATATATATTTATATATATATAGAGAGATATATATAGAGAGAGAGAGAGAGAGAGAGAGAGAGAGAAGCTTACCATGCCCCAAAAACCAGGATTAGAAAGACCGACACCATTAGGACATTCAGCATGAGAAGAACAATGGATATCCAATTTGACAGCCATTTTATTGCTAGAAAACAAGGATGTAGGTTCATTTTGAACATTAATGTTTGATCTATTTCCTATTACAGTCCATGGAGAGATGCTTGGGGGACTCGTTGTGCCTCCAGCTTCAAAACCTTAACCAACAATTCAAGTAGTTTGTGTAAGGCTGATTATAAATAATCTCAAGAAGAAAAATCTTAGAGAGAGATTATGGAAATGGCTTTTACCTCTGTTGTTGACAAGCTCTGCCCACAATCCTCCAGCTCCAGCATGATTAATTTCCTACAAAATAGTATTATAATAATTTCCAGTAATATGTGATGAAAAAGTATGCAAATAATGGTTAATTTTTATGAGCAAATTAAACTTAAATATATATTTCATGAGATTAACGTTCACCTCAAAAAATACGCCAAAAAAAATTTGGAAATTGGCTTTCCTGCAGAATCAGCGTCTACAACTAACGTAGAAGTAATGCTGTCAGAAAGAGTTTGAAATACAAGAGAAAGAGAGAAAGCTATGAATAAAAGTGCAGAAAATGTAATTTCAGAAGAAGCCATTGGGATTAATTAACATCTAATTCATAGTCGTGATTCTCTAGGGTCAGTGTTGCATGTATTTATAGCTTTTTAGGTAGACTTATTAACATTGATTAATAATGGATTACTTTAAATGCTAAAGTGTTGTTAGATTTAGAAATTATTAATACCACTAGATTTTCTGTAGCAATCTGTCGGTGATATGCCTATCTGAATTCTTTAATTATTTGTACTTTGCAGATTTTCTTTCAATAAGTTAGTAGCCTTTTGTCTGAAAAGGTTTGTATTTTCTTTAAAATTATTTATATTTCAACTTTTTGCCAATATGACAAATTGTGACATTTGATTTTGACTATTTTGCTGCGATTTTAATTTGACTATATATACGCAATGTTTATACTATTATTAAGATAGCAATAAATGAGATAAAAATGAGTCAACGTTTAGAAAGAGAAAACGAAGAATGAATATAAAGAACCAAAGAAAGTGGACTGGGAATTTGTCGGTGAAATAGGCTTCATCCTTCTGAAAAATAATGGACTATCCAAGTTATGTAGTACACCCACACACACACTCTACCATACCTTAATTGGTAATATATAATTTAAACTAGACAAATACCTTTTTATTAATATTGTTAATTATTCAGTCCAAAAAAATATTGTTAATTAATTTTGTCCCTTCGAAATTTCAAACTCTTACCAAATTAATCTTTATTTTAAAGATATGATAAATTCTTTTTTTTTTTTATAATAATGAGAAACCTTATCCAGAGCCTACACGACCGCTTGCCATAGCCTTGCGGTCATCAACCAAAATATAAGATAACTCCCTGGGAATATCAACAATAACATGAAAACCTCTCGCTGCAGCAAGTCCTTGTTTAGCAATGAAGTCAGCAGCTTCGTTAAATTCCCTGTTCACGTACTCAATATTCACCTCCCACTCCCTGCTCATCAACAAGCGAATTTCACGAATGACATCATGCTCATAGTGGTGTTCCTCAGCATCAGAAGTAATAAGCTCAATAGCATTGCTTGAATCAGACTCCAAGATAATCTTACGGTACCCACAATCCCAAGCAAGCTTCATTCCATGTAGGCACCCCCATAGTTCTGCATGAAGTGCATCCCCATGCTCCAGATTATGTAGGAACCCCCGTAGAAACTCTCCTTCATTTCGTAGTAAACCACCACACGGACAGCTATGATTAACAGAAAAATAAGCTCCATCCACATTGATTTTAATCCATCCTTGTGGCGGGGGTTGCCAGCCATGCTTCCTAGTAGCCCGTCGGATTTCCGGAAGTGACGCACCCGAAAGTGCTTTCTGATGACGCTTAATATTGTCTAACATAGCAGTAGCATTAGCTATTATATCTTCATTATACACCTTCTTTCCTTCGAAAAGATAAAGGTTCCGACGACGCCAAAGCCACCAGCAAATCACAGAAAAGATGCTCTTCCAGTTTTCACCGTTGATCTGCTTGGTGGTAAATATTCCAACCTAGCCATTCATTGAAGTTCATCATGCAGAATTTTCGCCACATAGAAGGAGGTACCAGCTTCTTCCAGAGGATTCGAGTTTCATGACAATCACGGAAGACATGAATAAAGTCCTCCGCTTCTTTTTTACAAACTGGACAGCAATCATCATCACCCAGACCTCGTTTCCTTCTAATAGTGTTTGTTAAAAGACTCTTACGAGCTGCTAACCACATCATCAATCTACAGCGTTCGGGAATAGGCAGTTTCCATATTTTTTCCCAAAGCGGGTCAGAATCCATACCAGCAGTTGATAGCAGTTCATAGGCTGACTTAACTGTAAACATTCCACTACGTTCATGTTTCCATCTCACTGTGTTTCTGTTGGCAGCAATCTCCATACCTTCCTCAACCTTTTTCCAAGTCTTCTTTATTCCTAACCAAACGTTGGAGCCACCCCTTTCAACATCAATCTTTGGAATAAGATCATTACCACACCGATATTTATCACGAACAACTTTGACCCAAAAATCATTACGGCAATTAACAAGTTTCCATCCTAGCTTCATAAGATGAGCTTGATTTTGTAATCTGGCATGTCTCATACCAAGACCTCCTTTTGTCTTCAATTTACAAACTGAGTCCCAAGCTACCAGTGAGACCTTTTTCTAATCCTCCTTATTACCCCAAAGGAAGTTCCTGTTCAGTTTGTCAAGGGCCTCACAAGAAGTAGCTGGGAGTAGAGATGTCTGCATGGCATAGGAAGGGATAGCTGACGTCACTGAGGTGATTAGAGTATATCTTCCCGCAAGGGATAAAGAATTGGTCTTCCATTTAGCCAGGCGGTTCTTAACCTTATCAACAATCTCCTTGTACGTATCTTTGGTTACTCTCTTATGATGAAGAGAAACACCTAGATACTTCCCGAAGTCTGCTGTTTGAGTAAACCCCATGTAAGTGCTAATCTCTGAACACCTGTTGTGATTGACGTTAGATGAGAAAAACACATGGGTTTTAGAGAAATTAACCTTAAGTCCATAACAATTGCAGAAAGTATCTAGACATTTTTTTATCAATGACGCTTGTTGCAAGGAAGCTTCTGCAAATAAGATGACATCATCCACAAAAAATAAATGGGAAATAGGTGGCCCACTTGTCGTTAATTGAATTGGTTTCCATTCTTCATTTAGAATTTTCTCTTGGATGAGATGAGCCAATTTCTCCATGCAAATCACAAACAGATAGGGTGAGACCGGGTCACCTTGTCGAACCCCTCTTGATGATTTAAAAGAATCTGCCTTATTTCCATTCCACAGTAGTTGTAATTCAACTGATTTAATACAATGTTCAATAATGGTGGTAAAAGACGATGGAAGATTCAACTCCTTGAAACAACCACTCAAGAATTGCCAATTAACTCTATCATAAGCCTTTTCAAGGTCAATTTTAATAGCCATGTACCCCTTCTTCCCTCTCAAATTTCTCATTGAGTGGATGACTTCCTGTGCTACAATAATATTATCAGAACCATGACGCCCAGGCACAAAACCACACTGATTAGGAGAAATTATTTGTGGTAAAATTTCTTCATTCTATTGGCCACAATCTTAGTAATCACTTTATAAACAACATTGCACAGACTAATGTGTCGTAGATCCTTAAAAGTTTCAGGAGGGTCTTTTTTAGGAATCAATACCACTCACGTTCCATTGATCTCACTAACTTCATGTGGATTATCAAAGATGTGTTTAACAAAGTTTATTAGAGTCTTACCAACAGTGTCCCATTGTGTTTGGTAGAATAGCGCGTTAAAGCCATCAGGCCCAGGAGATTTCAAAGAGCCCATGCTAAATATTGCCTCTTTGATTTCTTGCTCATCAACCTTCCGAGCACAAATCCGTAAGTAGGCCTCTTCAATAGGTGGAAAAGTTACACTACATGTCATCTCATCTCTAGTAGGCAACTCCTCCGTGAACAACGATGCAAAAAAGGAAGCGGCTTCCTATTTTATTTTTTCAACATCAAATCACCACTCCCCTTCCTCTAAGCGAATAGCATCCACCCTATTTATCTTTCGACGCCCATTAGCACATGAATGAAAAAGTTTAGTGTTTCTATCTCCGTAAATATTCCAGTCTACTCTTGCTTTCTATGCCCATAAGAGAGATTCCTGTGCTAAGACATCTTCAAGTTCTTTCCATATCTCAGTCTGTAAATCTTCATAATAACTCACATTCCACCCTCTTTCAATGGCTCTATTCACCCCGTCCATGCGTCTTAACAGCTCTTCTTTTTGCCTTCAATGTGTCCAAAAACTTTCTTATTCCAATTGTGACAGGCTGAAGTAAATTGGGTCAAATTGTGGCTCCACCGCAGCTCATCATTCCAATTATGAACGAAAAAATTGTTAAAGTCTTCATGTAGAACCCAAGCTGCAATGAAGCGGAACGACCGATGAGGGACTTCAACACGATGATCAAGTTGTAGGAGAATGGAACGGTGATCTGATTTATAAAAAGGTAGATGAGAAACTCTCGCATTGGGGAAAAGCCTGCACCACTCATCATTTGCTAAGAAGCAGTCCAATCGTGCTTCAGAATTGTTTCTCTTCCACATAAAATAAGGTCCCCTAAAGCCAATATCCGACGTGCAAGACTCTTCAAACCAGTTACAGAAGTCTCTATCAATAGAGATCCCATGTTCGGCAGTGGTACGTCTTTCCACAGTGTACAGAGTAGCATTAAAATCACCCCCTAATACCCAAGGGTCATGCATACCACGTTCTATGCGAAGGAGCTCCTTCCATAAACTACAGCTCGCCACTAGATGAGGGCTAGCATAGATCACAGTGAAGTACCATCGCTCAAATCTAGCAGTGTTAATAGATAAATGCATAAATTGATGATGACGTTCTACAACTTCCACTTTATGAACACCCCCATTCCATAGGCACCAAATACCACCACTAAAACCTTCAACTTCAATAAATGCAAAATCTTGAAACCCAAGACTTCCTATTCTTTTTTCTGTATTTTGTTTATTTGACCGAGTCTTAACTATGGCTAGAAAATCCAAACACAAGTGTTTTTTTAATTCTTGTACTAGACTGGGAAAAGTCTTCGCACTTGTATCCCGAGAATTCCATATCATGTAATTCATAAGGAAACATTCAAGTGTGCTGGTGAAGCTTCGATGTCCCTTCCTTGGACAAGATCCGATTCTAGAGCTATAGATATATCCTCACTTGTGTTTGCATGGGAACTCTCCATCAAGACGTCACCATCATCTGATTGGTCTCCAATGCGCCTAGCTACTTCATTCATTCTAAAAGAATTTTGTCCCTTAGTAATGACGTGAGCATTATCCCCAAGGCCCGTAGTAGTGACACAAGCATTATCCCCAAGCCTACTAACGTTTTGATCCACACAAGTTGGAGATTGATGTTGAGCCTTTAAATTGGAAGGCCCAGGCTGAAGTGAAGAAAAGGAATTATAAACTTCAATGGGCTTTTCGTTGAGATTGATTCCCTCCTTATATTTTGTTTTGCCATTATCTGACAAATTCTCCTTCCCTCTGATTTTGATCTTCTCTACTATTTATTTCAACCCCAAAGTTACTGTCTTTATCCACAGGTCCTAAGATTTTAGTATTGTTCTCTTTCTGTTCTCCTATTGGCCTATATACAGCCTTTGTCTTCATAGCCTTTCCAGAAATAGCCCCCTTCTTCTCCATTCCATTAATACCGTTACTCAATCCCTTATTTTCCGCGTCATGAATGCCCGCATCAAATCCCTTTTTTTCTGTGATAATATTCATCTTGCGGAAATCTCGGCTAAATAACATTTGTGGTCCCAAATGAACGTCCGCCATCATTGTTGCCGTCGTTGCCGTCGGAATCTGGGTTTGTTTCTCACCCTCCTTACCCTTGTTCAGATTATCCATATCCTTGGTAGCCAGAAGAGGACATGCATGTTTTTCATGACCATATTTCCCACAGTGAAAGCAAACCTGGTGTAAACGCTCATAAACTATCTGCCAATCCTCCCCAAAAGCTGTAAAAGCGGATAACAATGGTTGCTGGAGATCTATCTCAACACACACTCGAGCAAAACCTCCCTTATCATAAATGGATGTAGAACGGTCTACTTTGATAGTTTTTCCGATCATATCTCCAATAATTCCTAGAGATTCAACATTGTAAAACTCCATTGGGAGGTCTGGTATACGAATCCATGCGGCAATCTTACGTTGGAGGTCCGCCTTCCGAGGGTTAAAATTGGGTCGCCATCTCTGAACCAACAGGTAGTGATCATTAATCATCTAAGGCCTTCCTGAAAAGCATAGTCCCGATCCTCTCTGCTAGTAAAAGAAGCAATATAGTAATCGTTACTGAGAGGAGTCACTTTCATTGGATCTTTCGGTTTCCACATCCTTCTCACCCTATCTATGAGCACATTCTTTGGTACCTAAGCACCCAAAAGTTTAATGATCAAAGAGTTCATCATTGGAGTCAACAATGTAAAATCATATATAAATTACAAATAATTTACCTTACCAGAAAGCTAAGAGACAAATACAGTGCTCACGTTAATGATGATTATTTTATCTCTTAGCTTAGAAGGTATATTATATATTTAAAATACTGATTACTTTGGTGAGATTTTGAAATTTTGCAGGGACAGAATTAATTAACAATATTAGGCATTACAAAGATATTTGTCTCTTAAATTTTTGGTAAGGTTAGATCTTTCACGGAACATTTCGAATGGGTTTTAAAAATTTGACTAAAGTAGAAATTTTAAATAAAGAGGAGATGTTTATGTAATTATAGCAAAATGAAAGTAAAGTCACTTGTATTTCATTATTAAGGTGTTCAACTTGTCCCGTCCTGACAATCTCATCTTAGTCCCGATCAATTGGAGACAGGACAAAAAAAAATTGGGACAGGACAGGATAGTAATTGGGACGACACGGGACGCGGGATGAGCTCGTGCCGTTCGAAGGAATTTTTTTAAAAAAAAATATTTATTAATAATTATTATTAGATTATTCAATTCACTTAATAATAATAATGAAAATAATAAACTTTTATTATGATTTTTAGCTCTTAAATTGTAGTGTTATCTCAACAAAATATCTTTCTTTAATAAAATAATTCGTAAAGCCAATATACAATATTCTTTTTATGGTTTTTTTTATAGTATTGTTTTTACACTTTTTTTTATGTTATATAATTAATCTTTTTACACAATATTTTTTAACAATATGTTTATCTTCAGAAGCCCAATAAAAAACAAACTAACATAAAAATATTCATACAAAAAATTAGAAAAATAGGATGAGAGACTAGGATGAGACACGAGACAGAAATCCCATCCCGTCCCTGTTCACTAGGACGAGACTAGAACGGACTTGTCCCAGTCCCATCCTATGAGTAGCCCTATTTCATTCTACAAAAAAAAAAAACGTGTTTTTCCACTAGCCAAAAATATATTTTTACTCCTTTAATTTTATACAAGATTTCAGTTTTTGATTTTTAAAAGTATACTTTTTGTCCTTTAATTTTAAAATTATTAATAAAATATGATAACATTGAGATAATAAATATTAATAAAAACATTCTCAAATACTAACTTATTTAAGTTTAATTTTCAAAACACCCTTGATTGTTGCAAAAAATATCATTTAAGCCTTATGATTTTAGAGTTAAAGGACAAAAATTATACTTCACTTATGGGTTCAAAATGAAACATCATATAAAATCAAAAGACCAAATGTATACTTTTACTCTTTTAGCAATCCATTATGTCTAAATTAATTTTGAAAATGAAAAATACAATAAAAATAACGTTATAAAAAATGATAATAACTTCAAAATATCTTCATTATATTGAATTAATTTTGATGCCTTCCAACTTGGGCTTCAGCCCAAAAAATAAAAAAAATAAAAATATGTACAGCAATAATTTTGAATGGAATCACATCTTGAGAAGTTATAACTTTCCCTTTAGGAGGCTTTTAGATCCATTATGATATGATTTAGAGCATATCCAAAATGATTATTGGCAAAGGTTTGGTTTGATTGGAATATGAAATGGAACATGTAATTAAAGAAAAAAGGAAGACAAACAAAAAAGGGCAGTATAATTAAAGATTTTGATTTGGACAGGTGCATATATATATCAAGAGGGAAAAAATTAAGATTGCATTGAGGTGATTCTTTATCGATGTATATATAAAGGGAGGAAGAGAATGACAGAAGACAGAAAAATTGAGATGGATTGAAAATTGAGAGACAGACGTTGAGGAAAGCTGAGGAACAGATATAGAGTGATGTTGGAGGCAGAATAGGAAGAGATATAGAAAAATAATTGACAAGGGAAGGAAGAATAAGAAGAGATAGACAAGGAAAGAGAGGCCAAAAAGAAAGCAAGAAAAGTGAGATGCAGAGAAGTGAAACTGAAGATAAATACCCATGTCTTAAATGTAGAAGTTTGTAAAAGAACTTGAGTTGATACTAACTATAAAACCTCGGTTAATTTATAACTTGTGGTCTTAAATTATTTTTATATTAGCTGTAGTTATTAAGGGGATTTTTGTAGGTAATTTCTAATACAAATAATTAAAAAGTCATTTTAAGAAACCAACACACATTTTTTTAAAAATAATAATTAACTTAATTAACTTAATTATCTTTTTAGTTTTTGAAAATTAGTTATCTAATTAAGCAAATACTAATTAAGCATTGGTTATGGTTCTACATCATGCCACCTTTTCATCTCTATAACTCCTTTTAGGAGTTTAGAGGGTTTGAGAAAAAGTGATTTTATTGCTATGTATATTTTTGATACTGTGTCAAATTAGCAGTGAAAATATGCTAGACCAGACTAAACTTTGCTTTTAATAAACTAGACCTATCTGGTAACAAGCCAACCTAAACATGACTTGTAACCTATCATAAATTTTGTTTCTAGCCTAAGCTTGGTTTGTAACCTAGCCTAAGCCTATTAAAAAGCCTGTAATTTTAAAATTTTTAAAATACATAATAAAAAATACATAGACTAGTGAAAAAAATATATACATGCTAAATAATAATTATTTTTTAATATTATTTGTAATTAAAATTTAAATGTTATAAGTATTATTTTAAATCTCAATTACAATTAATATTATTGAAAACAAGTTATAATTATATGTTAAAATTTAGAATAAGACTACATATAAATACATAATTAAAATTAAAATTAAGACAAATAAACAAGCCAAACTAGGCCTGACAAACTTCTCAAAGAGCTTAAGCCTAGCCTCTTAGGCTATATAGGCCTTCAAAAAGACCTAAGCCTATTTCTATTTTGAAACAAACCAGGCCACAAACTCATGACAGGTCGCTTGACCTATTCCCATCTCTATGCCGAATGAGCATTCATACAAAGTCACAAATTCAATTTTTAAATAAAAAACAAATTTAATTTATAAATATACCATATTACTGTTATAATAATAAACAAAATGAGATTAATTCAACATGAAACAGGGGAAGAAATTAATACCATATTGAATCAGCATATTTTAGTCAATCAACCGAAATAATATTGTCAGGGAAATTGATTCAACAGCACAAGAAACAAATAATCCCACTGATAAGCATAAAGACAAACTAAGATGTATTTTACGCATCGCCATCACTCATACAGATTAATCATTTCCCTCCAGGACCACCAAAGAGGTAATCCAGGGAAGATCCACCACCAGGGGCAGCATGAACCTTGGTTGATGGTCGATCCTGCACCCAAGCAGATGCTACAATATTGAGAATAATATTGATTTGGCTTCGTTACCATAAATTTGTTTAGGTACAAGCAGATAATAAGAACACTCTGTCCCTACTTTCAAAA